CAATAGGGAGTTCAAAGGTATTTACCTATATTTCCCTCAATAAAACCAGAACCAGAACCAGAACTGACCACTAATGCTAACAACAAACAAACCTTGATGATCAATGTCCGAACCCCTGACGAGACCAGTAGTCGATTTGTAACTCGTGACTGTCAGTAGCTTCGACACATTAACGACTTCCAAACTGTGTCGTGGAACCCAAAATTTTACAGGAATATTGACAAACAAAATAAAAAATGTATCCTTTTTAATCGGAACACAATTTGAATGTGTTGCGGTCTCCTGTTATTTGCCGAAACATATCACCTAAACATACTGGAGGAAGCATGAACACCCCGATATATTTTGTCTGTCCTGACGTATGTTAAAAACGGAGCATTATGAATTGGACTAACCTTGTTGGAGCTTAGTTTGCTTTGTATTAGTTCTTCTCTAGTACAGTAACATCACTGGGCTATGATGTTGTGCCACACCTATCTGCGTACCGTAAGTTAAGCGGGATTAGTCAGGAGCTAGTGAAGGCGAAACAATTAAAACAAGAGTTCGGACCACGCTGTTTCTATGTAAGTTGAATTTCTGAACCTTGTTGACATTTAGTAAAAAAACTGTAGCAATTTGTGTAATTTTTATATGTTCAAAACTTTGGCACACCTTAAAACTTCACTTTGTTTTGGACATACCACACAATCAACAGGGTACCACTTATACCAACTTTCACAAAGACCGGAAGCATAGTAAACCTGGTGAGTTCCGTGGGCGTGAAGTGCTTTATCTAAACGTATTCTGAATGGGAATCTTCCCGCTTGTTGTGGGACTTTATTGAAGTGTACCTCACCGTGTTTTCAACCAGAAAGTTCCTCTGATTCCGGATTCTTTCCAATTTACAGACAAACACACTTTTAGTCATGCGAAAAATGTCGAGAATTGCAGGTGATGGACAGCAAAAGAAATGCCGCTTTCATAATATGGCGAGAAAGGAAGTGAAGATAGGATAAGCAAACAGAGAGCACTGCATAGCTAAACTTTATCCGTCAAATTCGTTACCATACTTGCGTAAGAACTGGAGGTAGCGAATCAAATGTAAAGACGTCCGGAATGTCTGGTAAATATCTTTTTTCGCGAATTGATATAAAAACTAAATATGCTTCCTATCTGTCTTCACATGAACTCCCTTCGCTATCGGATCGTGGACATTTTGAGTCAGAAAGTAAAAATATTTCAGTGGGTGTTACAAGTATGGCAATATATGAAGTACTGTCTCATATCCGCGAAAACTTTAGGACGCACGTTCGTTATGTATCAATTTTCAATCACTTGAGCATACGAGACCATACAGCGTCTATCCAGCGACACTCTCAACTCATCAAGCTTTCACAAGGGCATCACACTGATATTGGAAGCAGTCAAAAACCATTTTAAAAGTTGTCGGTAGAATATGAAAAAGACAAAAGTTAGGAATCTTACTATTCTGAGAAGATATAACACTCGTTCTTGTACTCGTAGGCGCTATAGAGACACGCGATGCTGTCATGGTAACCAATCGCTCGCAAAATTGCCACCTCCATTACATCGCCGTGTTCATCTCGACGTAGCTTGGCCATACGGACGACCTTCATCGCCAGCACTTCTTCGGTACCTTTCTTTTGACAGCGATTTACTCGGCCAAATTTGCCCCTGAAATCAGAGAATTTTTATCTTAGTCATTCTTTCATAGCATGCAGCTGTGTGCATGAATGAATTGAAAGTGATTTTAATCAATCGAGATAAAGGTGCTTTAGCATCACCAAATAAGTTATTTCTCCTTACTTATAATTTCACGATGAAATACAGTCTCAGTCATTTTAACATAGGTTTGCGACTATTTCTTGAAAAGAAAGTGTCGTATTGTTACAACTCTTAGGTAAGAGCCACAGGCGTCACAACCTTGGGTTCTCAAAATTTGCATAGGATCTTTTGTGAACCCTTTTTTTAAAGTTGACTGTATTTGAAACAGGTTTTTTGACCAGTTTTTATGAAATCGCCGTAAAGTGAACGAAGCTCGGTTGGCTACCCTGAAGTGATGGCTAAAGCATACAAGAGTAAAATAGCGATCATGAAGCCATTGGAGGCTGTGTGTATGACACTCGACACTCACCGAGTTACTGCGCTGATTAATCTGATTTTTAATCACCATTATAGACCTGTTCCTGAAACGCGATGAGCTAGGACCACGACCACGAACCTTCTTCGACAGAGTCTGTTTCCCGGTCGCAATAGGCGTGACCCGTAAATCTTTTACACCATACAACACATCTTTCCTACCCTGCCTATGACCTTTTCCGGATTTTGCATTTGTGCCGGCTGCCGTAAGATATACTTTCAAAATGCTGTTGATAATGCCTGAAATGGGTACACAATTCAGAGCTTTCAGTTAGTTACAACTGGAGGTCATCAGAGTAGGATTCTTCGTGAATTATAGGTGTTCAACGGCTTTTCCAGAATCCCCAGGTGCTATTAAAATGTTTGATTATTCTTTAGCATTGGCTTCCCACTAAACACCATAAGAACACCGAGGATTTCACAGGATGTTTTCACGATAAGAAACGGGAGGGAAATAAAAAAATCCTGTTTATTTTATTTTGTATTTTTGTATTTATTGGAGAACCAGGAAGCTTAAATATATTCTGGGCAGCAGATAGTCCTATTTATACGCTGAGTAATGAGATGTTTGGTCCACGCGGGCATAATCTTGATTGGTGTTTTGGTCGAAAAACAAAAGTATTGGAACCTTAATGAGGTGGGCGACCTAATTGCAAAATATATTCTGATATAGGGGTTAACCGTCCCGAGTAGAACGGATAACATTTTCGGCAGAGTGCACTTACTTGCCCAACTGTTCCATAATTTCATAATCTCTCTTTGGATCGATATTTCTGTGCGTTTCTGGGTCTGGTGTGAATCTCTTCATTTCTGTTTTAAAAGGAAAAAAAAACTGTTCAAATAGAGTCGGACATAACACGGAGGAGCTCAAGTTAAAACCATTTGTTAAGAAGCACATCTAGATTTGACCTTGTTCTTGGCCTTTATAAACTAGGTGCTGCGTTATTTTCCTCTATGAAGAAGCGTACTAAAATGTAACGTAGAACGCATTAAATTTTAAACGGAAGCAGACTTTATCGTATATTTAATATGCGGCTTTATTAAACTCTCAGATACGATGCTGTGTGAAATAACATTTCATAGTCAGAAAAATTCCTTTTCGGAATTTTTGCGGGCGGTTGAAAAATACTGATTCAACGGCCGGAATCCTGAAATGACTAAAACCTCTTGTAATTATGCTGTATGACGACTAAAATTTAGTAAACATCTTTCATCGTAATCAAACTAAAAAATTTCGGCTAATATTCCATGGAAAGGGCAAAAACACTTGAATCAAACGGTATTTCCCTCCATTCTTCATCGGAAATGAAAATGACGATTAAAGAACGGCATACGCCTCAGCTAATAAAACTTTGACAGTGATTCTAATAAGCTTTTTTCTGAATGTCTTTCTTTCTTAACCATTCTTTGTAGAAAAAAATGAAAATTCTCTGGTTTTTACCTGCCGATTCCCAACGCAATCACTCAAATTGGAATGTGGAAAGAGAAACAGATTAAAAAGGTTTTACGAAGAGCAAAATATGTCATCCCTTACCCTCCTTATGATTGAGGTTGGGTCGCGTAGATACCATCGAACCGCGAGTTATTTTTTTTGACTGCATGTAGCTCGCTTCACTGACATGCTTTTGGTATAGTTCAGGCGACACCAAGTCAGCTGGTGATTTCAGCCGTAGCTTCTCCGCAGGCTTGTCCGCAGGCTTACTTTCTACAGGAGGAACCTGAGGTCCATTCTTCAAGTCAGCAACGACAGGCTGAATGTGTGTCGAAACTTTGTTCTTCTCTTTTTCGATACTCCCTGCTCTGGTCTGAGAAAGGGCTACCCGTATAGGTTGGGAAACTCGAGGAGAGTTTGGAGGCTCGGAAACAACTGGTACACGTGGCGCACTCGTCATTTCTTTCTCCGTCTTCCCTTCAGGTGGCTTCATCTGGCTGGGAGAAGTACCCACCTGCGAGCCCTTGCGACTCTCCGGCGAAATCGGTGTATTGTGTACACTAGCCTGGCTAGGAGGCTGCCCGACAGGAACGGCCACGCAGTTTTCTTCAGTAGGTTGGACCGATAAACTGGATTCTCGTTTTCGACGTCTATCCACTGCAGGAGGTGACTTGAGGGTACCTAGTTGCTCCACCTCCGTCCTCTGGTTTCTAGCTGCAATTGAGAGAGATGGTACACTCTTCTTGTATTCCTCGTTACCTTCTGTTATTTGTTTGCTCTGCTGATTTTCTACTGTTGACCTACACACTCCAGAATCGGTGAGTGACTCCACACTGGAGGTTGGGGCGGCCGCTTGTTCGTATTTTGCAACCAGCAGCTGCACACCTTCGAGCCTGCTTCGGTTGGGTCCTGTCCATTCGCCCTCGTGATCTGTACGCAAATGG